AGACACATACGATGTGTCTGAAGTTTTCCAGTTTTTTCTACAACATGGTGATCTAATAGTGGTTAAGATGTGAATCTTTCTCTCTGGTGGTTTCACTAAAACTGGTACTCTGCTGAACAAAATTTTCTTCATGTTCAAGTTTGGTTTCATGTCCATTTTTAAACTTCTTAGACCATCTAATATATATGGAAAAAGATTTGTGCATAGAGAATAAGATATAATTGCTATAAAAGGTAGTATTCACACGGTCATTTTTATTTAAGCAAGGCTTTTTTGTAAACGCTAATATCTAATACATAAATATAGGACTGAGAGAGAAATAAGCTGATTTTTTATTTATCTATTATTATTTTGTCTTTTTTCTTCAAGTAGCAGCAGAAGAAGAAATCCTTTTATGAAGTGATAAATAGATTCGCTTGACTTCTAAAATATTAGTGGTGTAGCTTCACAAACGGTCGTATGGGAAGTTTGGTGCTAAGCTTAAAACATAATTTGCACAGTGTAATCCTTAGGATCAATCTGTTTGAATTATTACATGATATGAATTCATATATATCAGAGAAGTAACAGATTTTCTAAAACATATTACTAAGAAAATTTCCAAAAGCAAGCTTATAACTTTTTAATGATCTAACGACAAGTAGCTTGAAACTGTTTTCCGTGAAGGAAAAGCAAGGAGCTGTCTGTCACAATATAGAGAGAAAGAGATGCAAAGACGAAGGTAGAAATATAAAGTCATGTAAATATCCTGTAATAATGTGCCTATTATGACAAAATATTACAAGTTTTTAACTAAATACTTGGCTGCACAGTTGCAAAATTGTCTCCTTAACTTGAATGTTTCTTTAGACAGACGATAATATTGTAAGGGAATAAGAGGAAGCCCATCGAAAAAGGTTGGATTCACCATATATCAGGAACATATTCATATATAACACTTGCCATAAAAATTCTGTCCAGAGCTTATTCAAGAGCATTAAAAATAAATCTCACATAACACAGTTATACAAACTTAGATTGTTCATCAATATAAGCAAAACCTAACCATTTCGCAAGAGGAAGATGAAAAGAGTAGAGGACCGGGGGG